GCGGTTGATGAACAATGCAGAAGTCCGACAGCTTCTTCCACCATTCGGCCATATCCGGATCTCGGCCAATTCCGGCGGTGTCACAATGTGCCACTCTGTCGCATTTACATCTGTTAAGTCCCATCCACATCCAACAGACGCCCTCATTCTGTTAACCTTTAGATCTCTACCATGCCGTCACAACAAGAATCAAACAATGCTTTGGCGCTCACCGACGTGTTTGTGCGCGATTCGGTCAGCCGGATTATCCGCTGGGAAGGAGATGGCCGGGAACTCGTTGACGAGGCTCACGACATTGCGAGGCGTGTGGTGCGTGTTGCCATTACTGTTTTTGTCGTGTACCTCCTCACAATCAACAGTCTCAAGGTCTCCAACAGCATGGCCGGACATGCTCGGTCATCTCGCCGTTTGTCCTTTCTGCGGCCGCCGAGGTCCGGGCGACAATGAATCAAGGTCTTGTCCCTCAATGGCACCGTGTGCGGGCTGACGACCCACGTATGGAGTCACATCCTTTTTTTCCAAAGACCGTTGGATATAGTGAGTCGGCACTCTTTGTATTCACAGTTGCAACTTAATATGTTTGCAGAACAACCGGTACCAGCCCCAGCCCCAGCCCCGGCACCAGCACCAGCGCCAGTGTTGGCACCGGCACCAACACCAGCATCAGCACCAGTGTTGGCACCGGCACCGGCAAAATTACAAGCACGCTCCCCAGTGGCATCCCCAGCTCCCACACGAATGTCGGTTCCACCGATTGACTCACTTCCTCGTCCGGATGGTACTCACAATCTCGTTGTTCCTGGCACCATGCCCGACAAGGGCAAACGGACCGACCGAGGGACTCGGAGATCCCGTGAGGACAGCACAGATGTCGAGTCAGGGCGGAAAAAACTCAAGGTCTCGAAGTGTTTGTCCAAGGCTGTTATCTCCGATACCGAGGACGAGGACAGGCGGCCGACCGGGACAATCATAGTGAAGGTACGTCGTCCGTTCATCACTTCCAACTAACTGCTTACACCAACTTAGCGGCCCAAGATCATTGAACCATCACCGGCAGCGCTGCCAAAAGCAAAGGTGAGCACGGTGGTATTGTCGGTGCTTATTTCATGGCTGACTTCTTTTCAGGGTAATACGAAGTCGGTCAAGCAGGTGAGATTCACCTCTTCCTGCCAGTCCTCTCACCTCAACCATCTTCAGCCGCAAGCCGATCCTAAGATTGGCCGAGCCCAGCCACATGGCAAAGGAAACGAGAAGGTTGTGGACATCGCCGAACCTACGAGAGGGCGTGGGCCACTGAAGGCCAATACTGACGAGGTGAGTTCCCCCAAATCATTTCAGTGACAGGGTGCTCACTGTTTCATAGTACACTCCACCGTGCACAAGATGCACTGGCGAGCCTTGTCTTGTGGTGGTCGGCAGGAAGGGGCAGGCGATGAAGTCCTGTGCCAAGTGCCACTTCCAGAAGGTGCGATGTGACCGACCAGTGTCAGGTCGATTCTCGGGGCCCATCAACAACGCAGGCGACAAAGTCACACCATCCTCGGTCAAAGGCCGCACCCGCATCCAAATCCAAGGCTCAATCCCGGACAACCAGAGCAACCTCGCGGGTACGTCCACCCACACCTATCATAGAATCCGAGGATGCTGTTGAGGATACGGGTAAGTAATTTTTTCTTCGCAATAACGTCTTTTTACCCTTGGGTGTAGATGAGTCTGCTACCGGTTCCGATGATGCCGATATGGAACCTGACACCGACGCTGAACGGCAGATCGACATCGCCACCGAGATGTCGGTTGATCCTGAAGATGAAATCATGGCTGACCGACCTGCGGACATGGCTTCTGCGGCCGACTTCCCCGCCGAACATTGGCTGGAGCCCACTGAGGAAGCGCCCGTTACCATTCCCCCACCAACTCCTGCGGCCGACCCCCTTTCCCTTTCTTCATCACCTTCGTCACCTACCATCCTCGAACGCCTGCTTGCCCTGACTACTCAGGTGAATGCCATGCAATTGGCCGATGAGCATGCCCTTGCCAGGGTGAATGCCATGGAACAGGAGTTTGATGCCCGCATCTCCTCGATGCGTGCCGAACTTTCCTCGATGCAGCTTGATGTCGGTGCCACCGTCACATTGGTGAACGGACTTGTCGGCCTGGTCGAGAAGCTTCGGCAGGAACGAGTCGTCGCCAATCCATCATTTCCACCACCAGCGCTCAGCCATGCCAATGAATCATCGGCCACTGCATTCGGCATGAGGTACTTGAACGGTGTGTTCGGCCCTTCGGTTGCTCCCATGCCTCTGTCTGTTGGAGTCGGTCAATCCTCGGCCTCGGCCTCGCGCCCTTCCGGTCGTCCTGAAGCGCAGGGTGGGACTTCAACATATGAATAATTATGCTCGGCATCAGCACACGCCGGTCCCGTGCACTCCCTCCCCAATCATTAAGTGGATTACATAGTTGTACTGTATATGATGTGTCGGTCGGCGAAATTTACTTGTATACAACTTGGTTTTGAATTTAATTATTTTGGTATGGATTTGAATGTACATTGAGTCATGTGTGATTCATACGTCGGCTTGATCTTTATCGGGTTTTCAGTTCGTGCGGCGTAGGATATTTGTCATATTTGACCGAGGTGGTCCTGGCAGGTCCATTCTGGAAGCTGGTCTGGAATCACCGACCAATTGACCGACCTGTGTCTGTGATCATTCTCCATACTTAGGATCTCGGCTCATTTGTATTTATCAGTACCACCGCCAACTCGGCCCGCTTGTTCGCATCGGGTACATACTTCATACACTACCTACCAAAGTCAATAGGAATGTCTACACTTATCTACTACACTACGTACCATGAGCCCACTGTTTGTATTAGATCTCGGCCCATCTGTATATATCAGTACCACCGCCAACTCGGCCCGCTTGTTAGCATCAGGTACATACTTCATACACTACCTACCAAAGTCAATAGGAATGTCTACACTTATCTACTACACTAATACCATGGGCCCACTGTTTATATTAGATACACACTTGACATTGGCCCGCCTGTGTTTAACACAGCAATACATTGATGGGCCCACATGGGATGGCCTGTGTAGAACAGGGATATTTCAACCTCGGCTGTATGTATTATACAAGGGTAAAGTGACTGCAGTATGTGGTATCCAAGTCTACTTCCTCACTGCTCCTCAGCTGCAGCACCAAAGATCTTCTGCAAAACATGACGCAATTTCAATTCATAGTAGTATGCCCTCAAATTCATGCATTCGGAACATGTCAACATCACTGTAGGCGAATTCTACACTTGAGAGGCGGTAATGTTAACCATTACACCATATCCGAGTCGGATACACCAAAGATCATCCGGGTCATCATTACGAGGACTCGTTCATAGCTTTCAGTATAAACAGAGCTCTCCCACACATGCTGTGAGCGTAGATAGCCAAATAAAATATTACCATGTGAGTACTTCAATGGAGTCCCATGCTTGTCCCATGCCTCAAACATGTTATGATGATATCACACAAAGCCCGGCCCTAGAAGGATCTATCACCATCATGATCATGTGAGGCAGACTAAACTCTCACAGTTCACTACAGGACGGGCATCAGTAAGCCAGTGAGGCTCAGATATATCGCAAAAACTCGAGGCATCAACGTTGTTAACACATGTTCGTCATGGTCCGAGTCGTGGCCACCTGAACGACTTGCTGTTAACCATCTCTTGAGCTGCTCTATCCGCTCTTCTGAAACTCTTTCCAAATTTCATTAGTTTTTCTTGGAATCCATTATAGTACCCATAACTTCTTCATGTCACAACCATCAGCTGCCAACAACGCCGAGCATCAACACACCCACAACGACTCGGACGAGCAGTTTCTTCCGCAAAACGACCCCGTACGACATCAGGAAAAAACATAGTGACTACATAGTGCTATATAGTCAGGGTAGCGCGAGTAGCCCCGTTGTCAAGTGCCCTCTATGTAGACACCATAGAGTCCCATAGTAACTACCAGTAGCTACAAGGTACTACCGTAGTTTGTCGGAGTGCTACTGCACGCAGCTATAAATTACTACCAGCAGCTATATAGCACACCAAAGAACCTCGTAGTCACAATTAAATTCAACCACCTGAAACACAAACTAGCATAATACGAACGTCTTACTCACTGCGTCCCTATTCATCATCCCCACCCTCGCTACTAGGATACTCATACTCCTCGACCTCATCCTCGACTGCCGCATCCTTCCTCTCACGCTGGTACTCTTGAATAGCATCTTCAAACGCCGCGTCGTCAATGTGGGCCTGGGATGTAGCTGACAATGGAATGAGTGATGCGACACCTGCGTGGAAGCTGAGAAGTGCGAGCATTAGAAGAGTCAGTGAGATAAGAGTCCAACATACCGCGCTGTATCATGCAGATTGATATGAATTTTTGAAAGGAGTTTGTAAGGTGCAGTGCGCTCATCAAAGTGTTGCAGTGAGCTGAAATGATGGTTGTAGACGGCCCCATAACCAGCAGATGTGAACTTGATGTCCTCTTTGATGCCTTGCCACCACTCATCAACACAACATTCTATCTATAAGATATTGTCAGCGTCATCAAGTTGAAAGTAAGAATGTGAAAAACGGCTCACAGCCGTAAGCACGAGCGCAATAGTTTTGATAGGGATGGGGTCGAAGTATTTGTGGTAGATGACACCCTCGTCACTTCAGTTCAAGAACCACATGCTGTTGATACCCTCTGTTGAAGCAACTCGGTCTTGTAGATGCCTGACTTGGATGACGGGTCCTATTGCTCAATGTCAGCACTAAGTTATGTAGACCGTCGAATACTCACCTTGAAAACAAAGATCGAGCCAATTTTCAATCTCTCTGCGAGTTCTCGGTTTGACCTTATCACCTCCATAGAATTACTTGAGCGGAAGCCGTGAAATGAAGCCGTGAGCGGACGCATCTTCGTCTTGAGTTCGCCTCGCACGTGTGAAGCGCGTTTCAACAGCTTTGAACGAATAAGACCAGGAATGCACTAAAAATACTGTGCTCACCATATTCACCGCCGAAGGGGTCAGTTTGACGTCAACACCTTTGAGTTGACATGCCTCACGCCAGGCCTCTTTCGCCAGTTTTGTCTCAGCTGCAACGGAATCCGGAAAAGGTGCCTGTGTGACGATGAGACACCGATAAATGGAGCAAGCAGTTATGAGAATCTCTTTCGAGATTTCGTCAAAGTCGCTGGCTTTCACGCGTCGACGCGAACCGTCAGCGTTTTTCTTGACCTTCGGCACCACGGTATCTTCATATGACATGTCATCGAATGATCACTTGGTCCCTTGAGCTGCAGGCAACTGTTCGTCATCGTCATCGTCAGCATCGTCGGCAGCGTCGTCGTCGTCGTCGTCTGTTGACTTGTCAACATTATGTGGTGCTGTTTGATGGAGGGTTAGTAGTGTAATTATATAAAGTAAAAACATACCTTTTGGTCCTTTGGTTGTAGGTATGGATGAGTTGCGCAACCTTGGAGGGATTTTCCCTGTACTGAATGTCAGGCTATTAGTGTTGGACAACCTTGTATCGACACTGTGGTCAGAGAACTGAAAAAAATAAATGTCAGCGGCTGATTTAAGATGAGGAAAGAAAACAAAAGCTCGTACCATTGTGTCTTCTTGCCTGTCCATGTCGCTAAGGAGCTCTGACGGCTCTTTCTCGAAGACGTCAGGATGCCCTTGGTAGGCAGCCTTTAAGGCCTTCTTCTTCTGTTTTGCCGTCCGGGTTTCCTTGATTTCTTGGCGATGGACAACATGTTGGGATTCGCTGACTGTAGAACGAGATGGTGAGTGAGCGGAACATAATGTGCTGGTACTTACGATGGTAGTTCTCTTTTTCAGTTGGTTGCCGCTCTCGACCACTTGCAGTGCGCACCTGCTGTTTTGCGGCAGGTGGTGGAGGGGCGCGCTTTGGCTTGGAGGTAGGCTTACGAGGTGCCATGGTTGTCTAGTCAAAGTACACAGCAGGTCAGCACAATTTATACCACTGCGAAACAGACAAATAACTCACAATTGAACCTTAATAGTTCGTTGATTGTTGATTTGAAGAATGAAGGGCTGAAAGCTGTGTCAAACGAGAGGGACGATAAAAAGGTATGATCATACCGTCACAATTTATTTTCACTGTTATGAATACCCCCGACTCGTCAAAAAAACGGTATGGAGCTTGCTTCAAAACTCACTGTGCTCTGACGAATCTTGCAGCCCGATGTGCACAAATTGCTGGTCGCAAAGAGGCTGGCTGTGAAGACACGAAAATTGACGTCAAAAGGTTAGTTGCCGTTCCACGTTACACTCAAATACTCACCGGCTTGCAGACCCAAGCTCGAAAGGCCTGATGCAGAGCCCATGTTCCTGCGCCCTCTGTTTCGTCAAACACCTGGCCCTGTCACAGCTTCCCAGAATTACATACGAAACCTAATTCTGGAGCGTTGGGAGGCAGAAGTGAAGGCCTGCGAGCAAGCAAAAAAACTGCAACTGTTAGAAATAGCACCAGGCCCAGCTATTAGTATCTTACAAGCGAGCATACGAAGGCTCGTCGTTGAGCGCTGGGATGCGGAGGTGAAACGGTGCGAGGAAGCCAAACGGGCGCAGCTTTTAGAGGTACTTCTGGCCGCCCATGGTACTTCCAAACTAACGTAGCACATCAAATTAGCTAGTATCAGAGACGAGAATTAACATACTAGAATTGGTCATTGGCTCTCTCGATCTTGTTCTCTCACTAGACGAGGAAGATTGTAATGGAGGTTGTGTGTTGGGAACTAGGCAAGATGTAAGTATCATTCAAACCGATCAGAATAAGAGCACGTACCTATCTTACTGTAGACGGAATGACCAGGATCTCTGCCTATCTTACTGTAGACGGAATGGCAGGATCTTTGCCTATCTTACTGTAGACGGAATGGCGGGCAGGATCTTTGCCTATCTTACTGTAGACGGAATGGCGGGCAGGATCTTTGCCTATCTTACTGTAGACGGAATGGCAGGGTAAGCAGAATGGCAGGCAGGATCTTTGCCTATCTTACTGTAGACGGAATTGTGTTGGGAACTAGGCAAGATGTAAGTATCATTCAAACCGGTCAGAATAAGAGCACGTACCTATCTTACTGTAGACGGAATGGCAGGATCTTTGCCTATCTTACTGTAGACGGAATGGCAGGGTAAGCAGAATGGCAGGCAGGATCTTTGCCTATCTTACTGTAGACGGAATGACCAGGGTAAGCACACCTCATGGATCATCCTCAAAAAAAAAAACCCGTACCTGGTTGCGACTTGGCGCATGGATTGAGTCTAAACGAGGCCGTAACTTTGGCATACCGATTGAGTCTAAACGAGGCCGTAATCCGTAGGTTTGTGAGGGTGCGTCTGGTGGCAGAACTGGGATAAGTCCCTCTTGCACTTTGTGAGGGCACGTCTGGTTGCAAGATCAGGATAAGCACACCCCTCCCAATCAACAAACCCAGCCGCACACCTCATGGATCGTCCTCCCAATCAACAAAACCAGCCAAGACTTGCCATACTTTCCAACTCATTAAGGGTTGTGTGGTGTGGTGTGGTGTGGTGCTCGGATCTAGTTGTGGCGCGGCGCCCGGTAACTGCGCCCAGTTTAAGTCTAGACCAGGCCATTGAAAAAAAAAAAAGGGCATACTACAATGAGACAAGTCATCTAAGACCAGGGCGAAACACTCACCTACTCACATACTATGTCGCACTGCTGTACATTTTGTGGCAAGGAGTTCCCTACGAGGGGGGGCATCAAGAGACACATAGCTAACCGGCCTAAATGCAGAACGGCATGGGAGTTAACGATTGAAGAAAAAGACTTGGAAGACAATGCACCTTCTATGGAGAACGATGATGCTGGCAACTCATCTTCCCCACTTTGCCGCTCATGGTCCAACTCTTTCGAGGCTGATGAACTTAATCCGCCGGCACCAAAAAGTCGGCGTGTGATGGTCGAGGATGTTGCTGACGAAGGTGAGGTAGTGGATGAAGGTGAGGTAGTGGGAGGTGGTGGGCACTATTTCAAGCAATGTTCTGATGGTGGATGGGCACTGTGGGAAGGGGAAACTGAATTTGAACGATACCGGAAGTACAAGGAAGGCATGGGTGAGGACAAGTGGGCTCCATTTTGTGACGAGTACATACCCTTTCAAGTTGATGGCCTCTGCCTGACTTTAGCTGCCAGGGAAGAGTGGGGTCTCGCTGAGTGGCTTGTAAAAAGCCTTGGGCAGACTCGAACCGATGAATTTCTAAAGTTACCGATTGTAAGTTTGGCATCAAGCACCAAAAAAATGTACTGACCAGCGTGATAGACCCGAAACCGAATGCAAGCTTCATTCCACAACAACCAATCATTCCTCAAGAAGGTTGATGAACTCCCGCATGGAGCCGCCTGGAGCTGTAAGAAGATTAGCGTTCAGGGAAATAGAACGGACGAAAAAGGCGAACCGTTGCACGAAGATGTTGAACTGTGGATGCGCAATCCTGTAGAGTGCATCAAGGACTTGATCGGAAATCCTTTGTTCAAGGATCAAATGGTGTACACACCTGCTCGCGCATACACGGACTCTGCAGGACTCCACCAGGTGATAGACGACATGTGGACTGCAGATTGGTGGTGTGACATGCAAGTAAGCACCATATCAAAAAAAACATCGAAAATGACAAGCACTGACCTGTGTTGTCCAGAAAAAGGTGCTGGAAGGAGCGACCATCGCGCCAATTATTCTTGCAACAGACAAAACGAGTCTGTCGCAATTCCGAGGCGACAAAACGGCATATCCTGTGTACCTCTCTATTGGAAACATTGCTAAAGAAAAATGGCGGCAAACATCAGCACGAGCGACAGTCCTGATTGGTTACCTACCTTCAGGAAAGCTTGACTGCTTTACACCTGATGAACGCTCCCTCGCCAACTACCGACTATTCCATCATTGCATGTCCCTCCTCCTTCAATCCCTTGTTGCTGCAGGTGAAGACGGCGTTGAAATGGTGTGTGCTGATGCGTTGATCCGTCGAGTGTATCCGATCCTTGCCGCGTATGTAGCGGACTTTCCAGAGCAGTGTCTGGTGGCGTGTTGCAAGGAAAACCGCTGTCCAAAATGTGTAGTTGCAGCGGATGAAAGAGGCGATCCACTGGATTCGCCGATGCGGGATCCTGCAGTCATAAAGGGGATATTAGAGAAGCGAAAGACTGGTCACCATCCTGCTGAATTTGAGGAATTTGGACTACGCACCGTCTATGCTCCATTTTGGGCTAATCTCCCCCACTCTAACATCTTCCTGGCCTTTACACCCGACCTCCTACACCAACTCCACAAAGGCATCTTCAAGGACCATTTAGTTAAGTGGTGCCTTGATATTGTTGGCGAAGAAGAAATGGACGCACGGTTCAAAGCGATGCCTGATTATCCCGGTCTGCGGCATTTCAAGAAGGGAATATCTATGGTAAAGCAGTGGACGGGGACAGAACACAAAGAGATGCAGCGTGTATTTGTTGGGCTACTTGCTGGCGCTGTCCCTAGGTAAGCTTCAATTGTTGCTAAGCATGAGGTTGGTGCTGACGTGATTGTTTTCGTTTGCTTACAGCCAAGTGTTAGTAGTTGCGCGAGCACTTCTAGATTTTTCATACTATGCTCAGCTTCGAGTTCACTCAACTGAATCCCTCAATGGCCTGGAAAGCACTCTGGCGATATTTCACGCCAACAAGGACGTCTTGCAGCAACTCGATATTCGTGACCATTTTAATATTCCCAAATTACATCAGCTCTCTCACTACGTTCAGTCTATCCTATTGTTTGGCGCTACAGACGGCTTTAACAGTGAACTTCCAGAACGTTTGCACATCGACTTCACCAAAGAAGCGTATCGCGCCAGTACATCAGTAAATTCACACATTGCTTGAACTTCCTTTTTTGCAACTTGCTGCCAGGTAATTCCAAAAAAGGAGCGGAAAAGTCATTCATAAGAACGGTGACACCAACTTGCCATCAACTTGCCACAAGGCAATTTAAGTCAAAAAAGTAGATGCCTCCTCTTGACTTCAACTTTTTTCAAACTTTTTGTTGGCTTTTTTGGCACTTATTTGTAAAATAGCCCACATTGCAAGTAGTGCAAGTTGGGGCTACTTATTTCACACTTGTTTCGACAAAAATGACAAAATATTGCATTCAAGGATAATTACATGATAGGACTACTAAGTACTAGTGGGGAAACAATACAACTACTTGTGGCAGTGGCGACTAGATGCAGAAACGAACTCAAAGAATGGGGAGCCAGCAGCAGCAAATTTTGAAGAGGGTGAAAGGCGGGATGCGAGGAATGAAAGGCGGCATACAAGGCAGACGGCACATGAGGCAAGCGGCAGACTGCAATGAAGCAGACGCTATTAATAAAAGGAAGTAAAACAAATGAAAAAAACTTACTTGGAGGTATGCGAAAGGACAGGTGAAGTTTGGACACTGAGGCAAGCGGACATTATTAGTCAAGGGAAATTTAAAAAAATGAAAAAAAACTTACTTGGAGGTACATGAAAGGACGGGCGAAGTTTCAGATGCTGAGGCAAGCAGACATTATTAGTAAAAGAAAATACAACAAATAAATAAAAACTTACTTGGAGGCCATGCGAAAGGACGGGCGAAGTTTCAGACACAGACATTTTTGGTAAAATGGAAAAAAAAACAAATAAAAAAACTTACTGGGAGGTGTGCGAAAGGGTGCGAGACCATGAGAGTGAAGTTTCAGACACTGAGGTATGGAGGTATGTGAGATGATGCATGGAAGTTAGATTGAGAGTCAGACAAGGTTGAACGTTAACGTTGAGAGTGAACTTCGTGTGAAAAACTGACGTGGTTCAAATATGACACGTGACGCGTGATGGTTCACAGCGCTCATTTTTGACAAATCCTGAAACTGCATGCGCCCATCTTTGTCATACTGACTTTAGCTTCATGCAGATTGAAGGAATCGGTTTGTATAGTTTGGGTTTGGGTACTGTATGTGCATCTATCAATTGTTCTTTCAATTTTTGCTAACTGCAGCCCTCCACACACCCCCCGGCACATCTCTCGCATCCTCCCAATCCAACCATGCCCAACTGCACCCTCCAGCACCCATACCTGGCGCCCTCCAGCACCCTCCTTGTTCAAGTTCAAGCCACGCTGATCCAAGTCGTTGCCACCGCTTGCAGGAAGTGAGTGTGTCGATCCTCGTTTGAGCAAGACCCATGCTGATCTAAGTCGTTTCCTGCTGTTCACAGTTCGTGAGTCTGTCGATCCCCCTTCGAGCAAGACCCATGCTGATCCAAGTCGTTTCCTGCCGTTCGCAGTTCATGAGTCTGTCGATCCCCCTTCAAGCTCAAGCCACGCTGATCCAAGTCATTTCCCGCTGTTCACAGTTCGTGAGTCTGTCGATCTCGTTATTGTGTTGCTACTACTGATATACATTGTACCTACACCCATATGTCTAGTACATGAATACATGGGTCACGAGTTACTACCTGCCGCGGGTTACATACCAAGTTGAACTACTTATTTACTTGCTGTACTTATTTCTGTTTCGAATACTTGAACTGACTTTTTTGATCTTATGCTACTTTTCGGCACTTGTGTGTCATACACTTCCTTTTTTGACTTGTGAAAACAAACAGCCAAGTGAATAAAGGTGAATAAGTGTCAATAAGTTAAAAATAAGTTTTAATTTTCGAAAAAAGGTCTGCCAAGAAATGTGTGAATTTACTGATGTAACAAGCGCGATTATGAAGAACAGATGGCCTTATGGCTCCAGCGCCAGGAGGCAGTCTTCCTGCGTGGTTCCTACCTCAACTGGCTGTTGGAACAGTCTCAGTCGGCACCAACCAATTTCACTCGTGACCACGGATATGACTCGGACTCGGACTCAGAGATGGAAGGGCCAAACACTGTCCCTGTCAATACACTTCCCATCCTCCCTGAGCAACGAACGGTCCACTCTCTCGCTAAGACGCCTGCATACCCTCAGCGTTCGGTTCAGCACCTCGTCACTGCACATGGTGCGTCCATGTTCCTCCCAGCCCTTAAGTTGTTTCTGCGCAACCACATGCCGCACGCTATCATTGCCCCTGGTCTGCAAGACCGTTTCGATGTTTTTCGACAGGTAGTAATCACTGCTCCGCCTAATCCACTCATCAGTGAATCACCGAGGCAGTGGCGTGTTAGAGCCACGCCTGAAGTGCTTCCTGGACGTGGACGCAAGCCTGGATCTCCCGCTAAGTTTGATATGGCCCTGACAAGCAATGGCATTCAGCCGCGCACTTTAGAAGGTGAGTACTAACTATTTGTTGAGCCGTCAAAAAATTCATGTTAATATTTTACTAGGTATGCGAGTGGGACAGGTTCGCGTTATTTTCACTCTGCCGCGTCAATTTGGGACCTACTCGCGAGCCTTAGCTTACATTGAGTGGTTCACACCACTCAGGGAGCCAGACCGCTCATCTGGCCTGCACCAATTGTCGCGTTCGACTCGTCGGCTGCACCGGAATGCAGCGGTGATACACATCGATGAAATCGCTCGTCCTTGCCATCTTATTCCGAGGATGGGACAAGCTGTTGACCGTGGATGGACTAGCGCAAATGTCTATGAGTCCGCAAGTGATTTTTACTTAAATAGCTTTATTGACCTTGATACATTCTGCATGTCCGCTATTGATTAGTTTTGTTGCTACTCAGCTACTATTGACTACAGACTTCAATTTGACTATTGTGCCTCCAAGTGTCCGCTGTAGTCTGCTGTAGTCTGCTGTAGCCCGCTGTAGATCTATATAGTCTGAGTCACGGCTACATTAGGTACATAGAACTATGGTAGCTATGTAGTGCTACATAGCTCTCACCAGGGCTCCCACAAAATTTGTTTTTTCCTGATGGACCCATCGAGGAGTGAGTTGCAGCTTCCTGAAACCTGTCACTTGTCTAACAGCGAAACAGGGAGAAAATCAATGTCGAACCTTTGGCAGAGTTGCCATCAGGGATGTATGTGTTTCTTCCCCGATGAGCGTCTGCGCCACTCCTCACTAGAACTGCAGCTCGAATGCTGGACCTTCACGACCGTCAGGACCTCCGGTACACCAAAGTACATCCAATGTTTCACCAGTCAACGAATCAACTCCGTAAGTTCTTGTCAATAATGACATTAAACATACCCCTCATTTGTCTCAGCGAGGCGGAAAAGGTCGTGGCAGAGAAGGACGAGCCGACTCTAAGCGATTTGTGAGCCAAAAACTTGAAGCCAAGCGATCGCAGCTGACCACGCCCTACACGCAGAGCAAATATCATGAAGGAAGTGTTGGAGGTTCTCAAGGAATCGACGATTGCGTCGAAGACTGGAAAGGATCAATGGTCTCGTTTCTGGGGTGTGTACAAAAGAGTTGCGGAAGAACACGACAATGAGTTCCTGGAGCGATACACTAGCGACATGAATATCGTCCTGATCTTCGTAAGTTCAGCCTGCTTATCTGTATTCCGTTTTCCGTTTCGAGACTGATGTTCGACCAGTCTGGTATTTTCTCTGCTGTCGGCACGTCTTTCATTGTCGCGATGGAGTCCGATTTCAGTCCTGACCCTAGTGACACCACGAATGCCCTTTTGAAGCAACTCGTGCAGATCGGACTCGGCAATCTCGCTGAGGCGGGCTCCGTTCCCGTAGACCCGGCATCTGGGTGGTCTCCAACCGCATCGACCTTATGGGTCCAAACGATCGCATATGGGAGTTTGTCCATGAGCTTGCTCGCTGCATTCGGGGCGGTGCTGGGGAATGCAGTGGCTAGGGTACTACAAGTCCAACAGATATGGCCGTGGCTCGCAGGAGCAGCAAGGGAAGCGCAGGCAAGAGCAGTTCGACGGCATCGTGACATGGTATTTTGATGGTGTCGTGCAATCGTTTCCGGTCTTACTTCAGATCTCTCTTCTTCTGTTTGGGATCTCTCTTGGCGCCCATTTGTGGTACGAGCAGGCAAGCATAGCCTGGGTGGTCATCGGAACGACGGTCTTCGGATTTCTGTTTTATTCCCTGACTGTAATGGCTTGTTTGATATCTACAACTTGTCCATTTCAGACACCAATATCAATGCTATTACGGGTGTTGCACATCGACAGTAAGATCATTTTGCCGAACTCTGGTGGTCGTTCCCCACCTGAATCAACATTGCAGGGGTTCTACACCCGGTATTCAAACGAGTTTCCTGTTATTTCCAGCAGTCCATGACATTACTGCAAGGTGAGTTATGTCTCCTTCCATGTGCACAGGTTTTGACCGTTTCATGACAGGCGTGCTGGGACGATTGCTTAGTATTATCAGATCGCGATGGACTCTATTGTCTGAGGTATTTAGAGGTGACGATCTTATCTACTATTACAAAGATACTCGAGACTCATTCACTCCCTAGGCACTGTGCATACGGTAGGTACATTCACGCGACGATCTCTTCAGCAGTTAATCACTAGGCTTCATAACCGGCTGCGTTCTTCGGTTCTGCGTTCTTCAACAAAGGTTGTGGACTTAGAGGCACAATCGCTCGGCCGGGATCTGAATGTTTTGGCGGAGAATGATGACACCCTTAACCTCGACTTCCCTGACATACGCACCTGCGATCTCGAAGCGCCTAGCGTCAAGTGGCTGCTTGAGACATCTACGGATCCTGAAGTATTTCTCGCTGCTGCCAGGCTTGTCCCGCAGGTTGAATGGCCTCTGGACCTTGATGTTTCGAACATGTTGCATCAGCTGGTTGATATTTTTCACGAGTTGCGTCGACATTCAGGACACGCATCGTACCGTCTTTGGAGGAGAAGGCTTCGGCTTGTGCAATGGCTCTAACTCATCTATACTATGGATGTGCTCTTCAGGCAGATTCTGTTTCGTGGCGATTTTATTATCCGTGGGAGGCAAGATCGCAATGTGTTTGTTGAGATTTACAACCTCGTGCCCACAGCCGAACGAATGGTGCTTGACATCACTATAATTTTTGTGATTC